GTGGACTCACTTTGCACTATTTCTGGCAGTCTGCAAAGGCCCTCAGTTACAAAAATATTTTTTTTTCTCTTGGCAAAAGCAAACTAAGTTTGTTTACCATTGTGCTTCTGATACATTAAAACTACACAGCTTTAGGTAATGTATACAGTCTGTTGGCAAGCGGAGATACTTGGTAAGATTAATATTGCAGCAGGAGCCCAGCCCACATTACAATACAGACATATCTCAGTTAACAACAGTTCTGCTAAAGAAGCTCCTTTTTACAACTTTTTTAAAAAAATTATTTTTGTAAAACAACAAATTTTCCAAAGTAAAAAACAACGACAAAATAACAAAATTTAAACACCATGGATTGACAATCTCTATAACATCTATAAACACAAAACAAACACAAAATAATCACAACACAGAATAACTATACAACTGCTGTTACAAATAGACAAACATTACTTCTACCTGGTTTCTCTGGATTTCTGGGATTTGATATCCCTGTTTCATTAAATTCTAGATTAACATAAACTTTAACATGTCATTACAGTGTAACAAAATAAAGTTACTAGCAGTGCTCTGAAAAGCATTTTCTTCTATTTTGTCTTAAAGAGCATTACGTTTTCCAAACTTCTACATTTTACAACATTTTTTTTTAGTGGCCCCAGCCCACCTTTCCTTGTCCTCTGTCTAGCTGGTTGTTTTTAGCAGCATCTGAATCAGGAGGATGGTGAAGGAGGGCTGCAGGAAGATCTACTTTTAGTGTCAGATTGCAGCAGCATGTCTGCAATAAACAATGCAATACAGCTGGAACTGGGAAAGAATTGGGATCCTTCTTTCTTTCTATCCCGTCTTTCTCCCACAATGGGGTTCTCTATAGACAGTCCTCCTGTAGTTGTGTCTACATGCCTACAATAGGCAAAGTAAACAGCAGCTGTCTCTAGAATCCCATTATGGAACAGGAAAACACAGAGAAAAGGGGGAAGCAAATAAATCTTCTAAATAAATGTCACCAACTCCTCCAAGCAAGCCAAACAAGAGTAGATCTATAGATCTGGCCCCTAATACAGAAACCATAAGAAAAATGGAGGCTGATGAGAATAAAAATCATTCCCAGATATGTTTTGGAAGAAGGTTTCTTGTGTCATCTAAAATGTTTTGCATACTTATGCAAGGCTTACCTGACCAGGTGGTTTCATCTCACACATACAGCATATTGTTAGTTTTGGATCAAATATTTGTTCAAGCATATTAAAGTGCTCTTCTTTTTTTGTGGCATATTATTTGTGGCCTATTCATATTATTTCATATTATTTGTTATATTATTTCTGTCAAACAAATAATCCCCAGGAAACACATCTTATTGGTTGCAGTCTTAGAAAGTGGACCCACTGAAATTGGTGACAAAACTGCCATCAACTTTCATTCATTTAGCCTGCATTAAGAGAATGGGATAGGCACCGGAACACAGGCAGCAGCCTTACATGCTGCATCCACACTGTTTGACGCCACTTTAACTGGCTCAATGCTATGGAATTCTGGGAATTGTAGTTTGTTGTGGCCCCAGAGCAGAGCTCTGCTCATTTATGCTTTCTGTCCTGTGTAGTTTGAGCATTGGCCTATGACTGGAGACCAGGGTTGGAATCCCCACTCAGCCATGAAACCTACTGGGTGGCCTTGGCCAAGTCACACTCTCTCAGCTTCAGAGGATGACAATGGCAAACCCCCTCTGAAGCAACTTGCCAAGAAAATTCTGTGATAGGTTTGCCATAAGTTGGAAATGACTTGAAGGCACACAACAACAGCAACAAAGATAGCAAAATATATTAATGAGGAAAAATACACAAGCCAGGAGATGCTGCAGCAGGTTTTTTGCCTTTGTCTACTGGGAAGGGCAAGATTTCACACACACATCCTTCCTCTTTGCTTCTCTTGCTGAGTTATTTGAGTGCAAGCTACTTCTGGTTGTATTGAGTGAAGTAAACTTTTCTGTCCCCCATTCTCTTCCAGTAAAGAGGAAATGAAGTTGCAGTCTTCCCTGGATATGGTATTTCAGCAGTGCTCCCATGCATACTTTGAAAGGCATGGCTGCATGTTGTTGTGTGCCTTCAATTCAATTCAATTTATTCGGTCCTTGACCAGTACAAAAATGTTAAAATACATAAAAATATATAAAATATATAAAATGTCTAAAATATAATATGTATATATATATAAAAAAGTATAGACCAACAGAGCAATGGACAAACTAAAAATAAACTATAAATACAATGACCAACCAAATCTTCCTGCACAATTGTAGATGTTCATTTATCAATTGAGGTCACAATTTGCAAACAATGTAGCAAAATTTGGCCACCATATGAGATACTGTAAGGTCATTGTTGTCTAAAAGAAGACGTAAATAAAAAGTGTCAGATTTACCTGGGAATTTACTCAATAGTTGGCTGATCAATTGATGTCGAGTGTCCCTATAAAATTGACAGTAAAGGAGAACATGCTCATTGGTTTCAACATTGCCCGATCCACATGGACAGAAACGAAAATCAAAGGGTATTTTTTTAAAATCTGCCTTCAAGCATGGCCGTGGGCATCACATTAAAGCGAGCCAGCATTAGGGCCCTCCTAAACTTCGGAAGAGTAACATGGAATAGATAAGGAGCCGGGGAAGGGACCAAAGCTAAAGGACTAAACAATACATATTTTGACAGGGAAACAGAGTCCATGTGTCTTTCTGCTTCTATAATTTTTTGTTTGATCATAGATTTGGCTCTGTCAGTATGTTGTTGTGTGCCTTCAAGTTGTTTCGACCCTATCATGGAATTTTCTTGACGCTTTTTTTCAGAGGGGGCCTCCCATTGCCATCCTCTGAAGCTGAGAGAGTGTGTCTTGCCCAAGGTCATCCGGTGGGTTTCCATGGCTGAACCGAAATTTGAACCCTGGTCTGCAGAGTCCAACATTCAAGCAGAGGCAGAGGGGCGGGGTAGAAATAAATTTTATTATTATTATTATTAAGCCACTACACTAAATCAAAATAACTGACTTCAAGATCAGATGAGAAGTCTGCCAAACAGCAATCTAGTGTCATCAGCTTCACCAGAGGTGAAAGAAACCAGCAAGAATGAAGCTCCGCTTTAACTGGGCCATTTGGCACGCATTTGATTTTGTTAATGATTACCAAGAATGATCAGAGGAGGAGAATCAACTCTCAAGGCCTAACCAAAGCACAGTAAGAGTAATCGAATTTCATGCTTCATTGGCAGGCTGCTGAAAAAGTTTATTTAGTTAAATCAAATTTTATTAGGATTCTTTCTACCATGTCTGATTACTAATTTATGTTTAGTGTCAAGGACTAGTTGAACATTTACCGTATCTCATGCATTCCTTCAATCTTTCATGGGATTGTCTGCATTTTTTTTTTTTTTTTGCAAAGGGACCCTGTGCCTTTGGCAAATGTCTGATGTGTAGAAATGTAGTGGGTAAAGAGACATGGAGAAGTTGTATAACTTGGCATGTTTATTGTATCCCTAGTCAAAGACATGGTCAGCAATAAAAAACTGGAGCTGGTGCTTCCAATTTCCCAATCTAATCAGTAACTAATGCTACAGTAACAGTTACACTGTTTTATACTCTGTTGGAAGATAATCCAGGAGACCAGAAAATGGAGGCTGCATTCCACAAACCATTTTCTACAGTAAGATATAATAGCCTAAATCCAATTGGTAACCCTAACTAGTGTAGACCAGTATTCCATAGCATTGAATCATGGCAGATCAAGCAGTATCAAACCACATTATTTCTGCAGTGCAGATGCAGCCATAGGCCAACGCTCAAACCATGACACCACACTGGCTCTCAATAGTATACAGATGTATGAGTTAAAAGGGAGAAGAGGGAAGAAAGGAAAGTTAGTCAGTTAGTACAAAATATGGCAGCCAGGGTGGTCTCTGGAACATCTAGGAGAGACCACATAACTCCAGTATTAAAATCCCTCCACTGGCTGCCTATTAGTTTTCGGGCCCGGTATAAGGTGTTGGTTATTACCTTTAAAGCCCTAAATGGCTTGGGTCCAAACTATCTCCGGGACCGCCTTCTCCCATATAATCCACCCCTCGCACTCAGGTCCTCTGGGAGTAACTTCCTACGGCCATTAAAATCTAGGTTGTCTGCAACCTCCCAGAGGGCATTTTCGGTAATCACCCCCAGACTATGGAACGACCTGCCGGACGAGATCCATCAGATTACGAGTTTAAGCAGTTTTAAAAAGGCCGTGAAGACGGATCTCTTTCGGCAGGCCTTTCCTGATTCAATCCCTGGCCTCAGGAGTTGTGCCTCTCTATTTTAGTTTTTGGCCCACCCACTGCTCTTGTCTGCTGGTAGTTGTTTCTATTAACTTATTTTATTTTGATATTCTGTGTCATTATTTTTTAATGGATATGTAATTTAATTCCTTTTTAATGGGGGAGGGTGGGGTTTGGGGGCTTTTTAGTTTGTATTGCTGTATTTTTAACTGTTGTAAGCCGCCCCGATTGTTTGACAGAGGGGCAGGGTATAAATAAATTATTATTATTATTATTATTATTAGGCCCTGGCATGCTGCAGAAGGGAGGGAGATGCAAAATTATGGTGTGTGTGTGTGTGTGTGTGTGTGTGTGTGTGTGTGTGTTAAGTCACTTGTATACATTGATGGTGCTTCAAGGTGACCAGAGGGCCTCCTTTTCCAGGACAGGTCCTACATTTCAGCCTTCTGTCCAAGAGGAATCCCAAAATGTCCTCCGTTGAGTAAGAAGCCCACTGAGTAATACCATGTTTGTTGTTCCTCTGCATGAAATGTGCCTGCTTGAAAGCCTGTCCTCACTGCAAATAGGAGGATAGGATGGATTCTTCTAATGTTCTTTTTTCTTAGGAGCAGCCAAGGTGGCCTAGTGGTTTGAGCATCAGACTGTGGCTCTGGAGACCAGGGTTCGAGTCCCACCATGGCCATAAAACCCACTGCATGACCTTGAGCATGTCATATGCTCTCAGCCTCAGGGGAAGGCCATGACAAACCACCTCTGAAGAAATCTAGCCAGGAAAGCCCCACGATAGGGTTCCCTTATGGTCTCCTTCAGTCAGAAACAACTCGAAGGCACACAACAACAGCAAAAAGCAGCAGCAAAGAAGACTTGCCCCCAAAGTTCAGGGCACCTTCGTTTCTCTCAAAGGGGAAAAGGACAGCAAACGTGTTAGGCAAGGGGCTGCTTGAGGACGCAATGCAAATGTTGAAAGTTCCCCCCTTTCTTAATTTTAGCACAATGGGCAAATTAAAATAATAATTCAAAGGTAGATTCAGTAAAGGGTTTGCTGCTAGTAAAGTACAGCGTTAAGCCTTCGTCTTGCTCAGAATTTTATCAGTATATTGCAATCTGATAAGGCATTTTAATGAGAGAAGTTCATCAGAAAAATATGCTTGAGTTAAATACAGTATAGACAGCCAGTGTTTAAGCATTTGAGGATGTCCCCTGAAGGTGGTATTATTATTATTGTTGTTATTGGACTACTGTACTTAGTTCTGAGAGCTAGCATGGCATAGTGATTTGGGTACTGGACCATGACTCTGGAGATCAGGATTTGATTCCCTGCTCAGCCATGAAACCCACTGGATGGCCTTGGGCAAGTCACACTCTCTCAGCCTCAGGGGAAGGCAATGGCAAACCTCCTCTGAAGAAATCTAGCCAAGAAAACCTCAGGGTAGGTTTGTCTTGGGGTTGCTGTAAGTCAGAAATGCCTTGCAGGCACACAACAACAACAACAACAAAAATACAGCATAGATAGTATTGTTGTAAATAAGCCATATGAAATGAATTCATATATTTATATGAGTGATTTTAGATTTTTATTGGGTAATGTCCTCCCTTTTGTGGTGTCTTCTCCTCCTTGGTTGTGAGGAGGAGACCTGGTCCCTGGGTACAAATGGGAGCAGTGGTGTCACTAGGGGGGTGCAGACTGCACCAGGTGACACCCTAAAAAGGAGGGTGATACCATTGTACCTCAAACACCTACCTTTTGGCAGAAAAGGGCTGTGGCATTCACCTGCTCCCCTTTAAAATGCTTTAAGGGATGGTGGGAGTAGGATGAAGCTCAGTGGGGGAGAGAAAGGAGAGGCCCAATTTAAAAAAAAATCTTTAAAAACATCACATTTTAAACCAAATCATCACTATGTGTATGTAAATACAATTATTATGTATCTGAGGAAGTAGACTTAAGTCTAAGGAAAGCTCCTGCTGCCTACTTCTTTCTTTCAGTGAGTCTCAAAGGTGCTACAAGATCTCTTTGCATACTGATTCTATAGACCAGGGGTAGGCAACCTAAGGCCCAGGGGCCAGATGCGGCCCCCTGAGGCCTTTGGACCAGCCACAGGCCGGTCCTGCCGCCACCGCTGCTGCCGCCTGCCATAATTATATTGATTATTGTTGTTATTACTTGTTCTTGGGGTTTT